TAAAAATAGACAAGTTTTTAAAGCAACTTCGGGGAACTATGCCGTGGCTCCCATGCCAAGATGGGGTGTCCAGCAGACGGAAACGAGTCATTTCTGGTAAAAAGCCGGTGTAAACGACCGTTTCTGGTCGTGCGCCATCCACCTGGGCGAAGATGAAAATTTGTTTTGATACTACTTTTAAGATACTCGATAGGCTCTGTTAATAGGGCCAACGACCACTGAAAACTTTTTGCCATACTTCTGAATCACGAAAAGCATTTCTCGGGTAAACTGAATATGATCCAGTTTTATTTTATTCATAGTTACATAAAGTGTGCCCACTTCGAGCATATTCTCAATGAAACCATGACCTTTTGATTTTAAATTGTATCATTTGGAAAAAATGTCTTGTTCGAAAATTGTTCCGTGGTCGATTATTATTGATTTTTAAAACTATACCTGATAGCTTAATGATTGATAACGTGTCTGCGAAGAGATCAGCGATAATCATGTCGTGCGGATAATATGGTCGGTCAGTATATTTGACCAATTTGTTTTTATCTCCCAAACACGGAATAAACGCCCAATCGATACATTTATCTAAATAGAAATACTGCTGTCTAAAAATGTTTTTCTCGCCTATTTCTTTGTACCTTTCACTAATGTTTGTTTATTCTGTGTGAACGCTAATCGTGTGATCACTTCAATACATTTCCAAATATAGTCATGTTTCTTGTCGGCAGCGTTGGACAATAACGGAAGGTAATCGTCAAGTATCGGTTCCAGTTTCACGTGGAGTATATTAATAAAGAATTGTTGCAAATTAGCATCGCTGCCATAATATGATTCTAGAGATGTGTTTTGTGCCGATTCTAAGTTAGTACCATCGTTCATTGTTAGCAATGACTCAGAATCTTTCCAAAATACTTCGTTAATGAATAAAAAGTCACCGGTTTCGCTAGTTCGTGGAATAAATACGAGTGGCCATAGACGAAAGCGAGTAAGAAGAGCACATGAATCATTGTCGGAGGCGAGAAATATATAGACACAACGAATGTTATCGATTATATCACGGCATGATTGACGTGATGTTGTTGGAATCGTACAAGGAATTCTAGAAAATAGAAAAAGAATTCGTCTCGTTTTATGCGAACAATTATCACTCTTACAAATTCGATGTCATATTCACTAATTTCCACAATGAATCATTGTCAAGATTACACGACCATTTCATTAACAATTCGAATATAGTCTTTCGAGTTATTTCTTGTTTAAATCCGAGCAAATTAACGAAATTTGTGTCCGTCAACGATATTTTCGAACGATCCAAATGAGGTACATAGCGACAGAATGGATTTTTCAATGGTAAAAAATAGACATCGGTCGGTTTGAACAATTGTCCGCCAGCGACTGGTATCCAACTATGTTTTCTCAACGAAAGACAAAACGAAGATTCGATACCTTTCACCGGTGCCAGTGTTGTAACATGCCGACCACGAGCTCGAATAACAGACGCTACATAAAAGGCAGACATAGATTGACACCAACGATCTAAATAGAGCAGAATCTGCGTGTATCGAGTGACATCATTATTATCCTTTGACGAAACAAGTGTGTCAAATTCATCGCAACGATAATCTTTTACTATGAAAGGTTCGTAAAGTAACGGGGTCAATGTTTTAATCTCATAAGCCCATTGAGTTCCGGCAAGCTGTTCGACATTAATAAAGGCTAAATGAGAGAGAAAGAAGACAGAATTGTTCAAGAAAACAAAATACTTTTAAAATATAAGACTTACGATTGTCAGTCATATTTACTAGAAAAAAATCATGAAGATCGAGTTCATTGAGAAAACGTACGAATTTCTTTCTTTCGGTGTCTTGATAAAAGAGTTCTGTTCTATATTGATTATAATAATCATCTGAGATAAATGTGAATTGATCCATTGATAAAGTTAATGAATCGAGCGATCGTTCACATCCATACAATGATGTTAAATGAACGATATTCGCACCATTTGAATTAGTACGAACAAATTTCCCTTCGCGTATCTTAATAATCAATTTACTTTTTAACTTATCAATTTCATTCAAAAACAGATCCGGTTGAGGATAATAGAGTTCTTTGTAAATACAAATGAGATAGGCAATAAGTACAGAATCGGATTTGGTCGACCATTGAGTATCATCCGAGATTACGGGCAAAATATGATTGGAATATATTTTTCGAATGTTACGTGAATCACTGACACCTGCAATGAAGAATGGAGTAGTGTCGCATATTCAGAAATCGGGGAAGCGCGAGACGCTCCCAGAGTTGTGGAGAAACAGTATAAGAGCGCATCTCTCCCAGGCCACATGGTAAATCGATCAAACTCCTCAGAGATGGTCGCATATCCATCTACCAGCATCTTCTGATGACAGCTTCTTTTGTCGGGGACTGGATGGGAGACGCATCTCCCTCACCTTCACCTTGCACTCTTGTCTTGTAGTGTATCTCCACATCTCTAGGCGCGTCTCTCGCATACCCGATTTTCTGAATATGTGAGAGTGCTGGTGCTCAGAAGAAGAAGATCCTGAAGCCATTGACTAACCGAGTCGAGCATAGGCCTTTCTCTACTTGTCGCGTCCAAAAAATGACTTTTTTTCTCTTTTCTGCCTGTTGTTACTTTTCGAAATAGCTTGAAGTGTGATATATATACACACCATTCGAGAATATTTTTCTTTCAACTTTATGAAACAATATCAATAGTCTCCCTACATTATTAGAGGCATTCTGCACATTTCTTTTTAATCTACCTAAATCTCTCAGTAACCGTTTGATCGAATCGAGCCGTCGTGGATACTTGTTCTCAATAAATTCAAGTAATCGTTCGTCGATTGTTGGTAAATCTTCGAGAACAATTTTAAGATGTTTTGCATATGGAGTTGTTTTGTCGAATGGAAATAGAATCGCTCGTTGATCAAATTCTTCAACAGATACCAATCGTGTTTGTTGTCGTAATGGAATGATTTTCATTTTTTTCAACTCAGCCATTGTTGTCATTTCGGTTCCATCATTATGATCTATATTAAATCCAGGTTTTTCTCGTTCTTGTTGTAGACTATAGTCGATACACAGGAACCATTGAGCGACTAAGCAATGAAAACAAATTATTCATATGATTATGAAACAAAGGAACACTTACTCTGTTCGATACTTGTTGTTTTTGTCGAATGTTCCTGTTCATTTTGTGTGTACAATGTTCGAATAAGTCGTAGAATATCGGAAAAATCAAGTCTTCGACAGCCTAATCTAATTAAAATTGTCTCATCACATTCCATGATAATTTGTTCATCAAGATAATAACTGTTAAAATGAGACAACAGCAAATCTTGAGAGAAAATTTGTCGTATAAAAGGATCTCGAACAAGAATACATTTCGTTGGTGAAATCCATTCAATGATTCCATTTTTATCTTCACGAATAACAGGAAATTGGATGATGCCCATAAGCAATTGAACACTCTTATCGATAAATGTATTAAAGTATGGATCGATTTCATTTCGAGCTGGAATCAATTTGAGAAAATATTTGAGTGTTTGTATTGATGTTAATAGATGAGTATGTTGTTCAAAATCGAGTGAGGAAGAAGTAAGAAGTTCGGGTAAATGCTGAAATTGTTCATAGGCTAATGGAACAAGTTGAATCATTTCTGTTTTGAGCCATTCGTTCCACACATTATCACGTAGAATTTCTTGTCGAGTAGCTGGAATTTCAAAATCAGCTTGAAGAATAAAACGAAAACCATATGAACGAAGTGGTAAATAGGCAAAGAGTGGTTGTGTTGATAAAATTTGAAATGATGATGATTCATAAATGGCATTTAATGGATAAGCAATGGCAATTGTTGTAGATTCAACATCACATTTGATATCACTCAGTTTCGCCTAAAATTCAAAGTAGATGTATTTAAATCAAATTCTAAATGTTTTCTTTTCACCTTAAGTTCGGCCGGTACTTGAATAACTTTCTTAAGAACAAACCAAAAATTTTTAGTAATTTTTTCCGAAGTTTTTGTTCTCTCTTGCAATTCAATAATTTGTCCATTAGCATGATCGATTCGAGTAAATATTCGATTATTTGTCTCATTAATTCCTTGTTGACGGACAATTTCAATTTGTCGAAGACGATTAAGAAAAAGTAATAATCTAGCATGAATATCGTCAAAATTTCTTGATCGATCACCTTGCTTCTCTTGTTTAATCGGTAGACGAATGCATGTTGTCCATTCATCAGTTGATGGTAATATTTCATCGTATTCTTCTAGCCAAATTGGTCGAATATAACCCATTTGTTCGGTACCATTGACTGTATCAAAACAAAAATGATAAGGTCCCGAATGAATTTCTGGACGATGAGATATCATAAATACTGATTTGAAGCCAATTCCTACAAATGAATATTTGTTATTTTACATTCTATATCATGTTTCTTTGTCGTGTATTCTAGAAGGGAGTCACTTTTTCATGTCGTATCTTAGCATCTAATGATGCCCTAGTTCAGTTATATACACTGTAAAAAATAAAGTGTGCTACTACTATCCATTTGAAGATATAGTGAAAAATAAGAAACCTTTTTAACATACCAAGCTCTTTACACACTGAGATTAATCACCAAGAGAAGCTACACACGTTTCGATGTCGAGTGAATCTTTAGAAGGTTTACACACTTACTATCCATTTCAAGATATACTGTCCTCCGATATTTTTGGAATAGCTTTTGAACACAAAGAGATGGAGATCAGCGGTTTTCGTTTTTCGATAGTAAACACCGGTGGACATCGATCTATTGAAAGTCAAAATTTTCTGTCAGGTCTACCATGAGCATAGACAGGCATCTCCATTCCAAAAAAAATCATAACCACCTAGACTTTAAAAGCATCTCAAATATAGAGCGATATCTTCTCTTTACATCTATAGAAGTCCCAGATCTCCATCTACCACGGTTCAGAAACTGCAGCGGTTCTCCGAAGACCTATCTATCGGACTATCCTTAGCCAGGGAAATCTTAAAAGTATATGCAAACGTAGGTTATCGACTATGCTAAATCTCGTGGCAGTGTTAGGTTTCAGAACAAAATGCAACAACCGAGCGAAAACGTATAATAGGTGAAGTGACCCATTTTTGCCTATTTTCATCAAAAACTAAAAAATTCATAACTCACTCAAAACCTATTCAACCTACTTTATAATGCCACCAAATACTCTACTTTATCTGCAACATACTGTAAAGCTCAAAAAATGTTGAAAAAACCAACAAAAATACTTTGATTTCTCGAAAGGTTTCCTAGAAACCTTGGGAACTAAGAGAATATTTTTTATTGATTTTAAGTCCAGAATCAGAATGAGCAGATAAATAGAGTATTTGGTGACATTCTAGAGTAGGTTGAATGGGTTTTGAGTGAGTTATGAATTTTTTAGTTTTTGATGAAAATAGTCAAAAACGGGTCACTTCACCTATTATACGTTTTCGCTCGGTTGTT